CTTGCCCCCTTATTGCTCTTTATTTGTTTTTTTCTGGTTTTTAAAGCTATCCTCCTTACTATTTAACACCCCATCAACTTTTGTATCCTCCATAAACTTACTGATCAACTTTTTACATCCAAGTCTAAATGGTTTGTGTATACCACAAACAACAAAGGCCCCAAACACTGATTCCTGCTGAACCTCAATGGACACAGGCTTCCAGTCAGAAAACACTTCTCAACTATCACCCTCTGCCTCCTACCACTCAGCTAATTCTGAATCCAATTAGCTAAATTTCTCTGAATCCCATGGGCTCTTATCAGTCAGTCTTCCATGTGAGATCTAATCAATAGCCTTGAAGTTGAGGAAACCGGTGTCGAATACATTGCCCTCAACTACACACCTGGTCACCTCTTCAAAAAATTCAATCGAGTTGATTAGACATGATTACCCATTAATAAAACTGTGTTGACTGTTTTTGAGTAAGCCCTGCTTTTCCAAGTGCAGATTAATTCTATCCCTCAGAATTGTTTCCGATAGTTTCCCCACCAGTGAGGTTAGACTGACTGACCTGTTAGATCATAGAATCCCTACAGTGTGGAAACAGGCCGTTCAGCCCAACTAGTCCACGCTGCCCCTCCGAAGAGCATCCCACCCAGACTCATCCCCCTATCCCTGCATTTCCCCATGTCTAACTCACCTAACCTAAACATCCCTGGACACTATGGGCAATTTAGCATGGCCAATCCACCTACCCTGCACATCTCTGGACTGTGGGAGGAAACCAGAGCACCTGGAGGAAACCCATGCAGACATGGGGAGAATGTGCAAACTCCACACAGCCCGAGGGTGGAATTGAACCCGGGTCCCTGGTGCTGTGAGGCAGCACGCTAACCATTCTATATAAGGCTAAATACTAGCACGAGACTGATAGTCACCAAGTACCGTAAGGGAAAGTTGAAAAGAACTTTGAAGACTGAGTTCAAGGGGGCCCAAGTCCTCCTAATCGAGGCTTAGCCCAGGGAAAGTGTGAGGCCAGTGGCAGCCCACGGATCATCGGGATGCTGTCTTCTTGGAGTCGGGTTGCTTGTGAATGCAGCCCAAAGCAGGTGGTAAACCTATGGTTTCCTGGTTTATCCCTTGCTCCTTTCTTGAATAATGGTATCACATTAGCTGTTCTGTCATCCGCTGGCACTTCTGTTGTGGCCAGAAAGGAACTTAAAATGCCTCTACTATATCCTTCTTTGCCTTACTCAACAGCCTGAAATACATTTCATTCACCCCCACAGGTTTATGTACATTTAAGCCTGCTGGACCTTTGAGAACCTTCTCTCTAATTACACTCGTTTCTTTAAATATATCACAACCCTCTTTCCTGAGAGACAACCAGCACATCTAGAATCCGACTGACATCCTCACCAAAGCATCTACTGCAATCTGATTCCTTGCTCTTGTCCGAGATCCAATAACAGGTTTTTTTCAGTTGCTATTTCAGATGTGGGACCTAGACATTGCCTTTTCTGTGTTATGGACCAGACCAAACCCATCCCCACCTCCCAAAATATATAAAGGAGATAGCCTAGACCCTAACTTTTATCTTACTTACACTTGCCTTTAAGATGCTCTGTTCCAGATGTAATTTGATTGGTTACACAACTCTGCTTTAAGCAAAACACACATTTTATTCTTACCACCAGTTAAAATACATACAAAAGAAAGAAGAATTGGAATAACAACTCTATTGGAAAACTTAAATAAATCTATTATTTTAAGTAATGTTAAGTACTGAACTGTAACTGTTCCAGTATAGTAACATTTCATGAACACACCTTGGGAAAGGCAAATTCAGTAAAATAGATTGTCTCACATGTGACTTTGGCAGGGAAAGAGAGAACCTAAGCTTTTTAGCTGTAGCAGAGATGTACAGTTTTGAGAACCAGCTTCAAAGCCCCAGCAACGGCTGAAAGCTAGTCTAAAACCTTGGTTCTGTGGAAGCCCGACCCTACCTATTTATGCTGCTTCTATTGTTCCAACTCTTTTCAAAAAAAACCAAAGCCTCATAAGCTGTTTACTTTATTGGCTTGGAACAGATCGTTCATTACCTCAGTCTCAACCTTTCTTTGTTTAAATAAAAACAGGCCAAAATACACCTTTTAAAGCCATAGTATTGTCACATTAGCCTTTACCAATAATGTGGGTGGCACATTTCCAGTGCCTAATGAACATGTGCACTACCCACTGCATTAGATGGTGGCATTAATGTTATTTTCTTCTTTCAGGAATCGAAGTGGAGCTTTTTTAAACGAAAACCTCAACAAGGGACAAATTTTGAAAACCCAGTATATGCAGAGGTAACTCTCCTTTCACCTCCTTAACAGTGAATATTCTTTTTAATTTTGCCATGTAATTTAAGAAAGTGCAAAACATAAAATGTTGACTGCTCTCTTTAGTCAGTGCCCCTGTGGAGCCAATACCTATTGCTGGGGCCTCAGTACAAATCTCTTATACACTTGTGAGGAGACATAAACCGTGCTGTACTTCTCTAAGTCATGTCTCGTCTACAGACTCATTCACAGACTAATCATTTTAAACTCAGCAAATGAAGAGGCAATTGCTTGGCTCCAAGAATTTGCAGTTGCTAAATATATTAGTCTATATATAGGCACAGATGGTGCTTATCACTTAGCCACAGGCAGACCAGGCGCTAATATCACATGATTCAAATCATATCCTAATTAGGTATGTCAGAACATTGCTGCCTTTGCCAATCAGCAGGAAAGCAATGGCAAAGTTGTATCATATGCAGTCATTGGATGCCAAAAGTTGAACTCGGTTTTCTTGTTAGCAGCCCAACATTGATGTTACAATATTTCAATTGTGATGATTCTCTTTCTGCATCACAAGGAAATCATGTTGCAAAGCTTGTTTTCAATTGATTGAAGTAACTTGTCAATAATTTCCTGTTAATAAAATAAAAAAGCAATCTAATAATGGATACTCTAAAGGACAGTTTTCTTAAGACAAATTTATTTAATGGATTTTGAGTAACTGAATTTTAATGTATGCATGTCTTTATTTTCTACTTCCTAGTGCCAGAAACAGCAACAAACAAATAACCCAACTGGAGAAACCACTGCTGTTTCTCATACTTCTGGATTACCTCCAAGTAAGTCACGTTCGAAAAAAGACGAACCTTTGACATATAGTCCGACAGAGAATACTTTCAAAGATACAGCTACTCTTGTCAAAGAAGATTCAAATGCATAATTCAAAGCTGAACTGAAGGAGAGATAGACTTTCCTCCGATACATTCTATTTTATACACACCCAGCATATTTGGACATGTCATAAATATTTGGTAAAAGATACCTTTTAAAGATAATTAGAATGAGCCAATAGCTGTTAAAAGAGGTGGTCTGTCTGTTCCTTTATCTTCAGTAATATTTTGTGCCAGCTTTTTTTTTTGTTGTTCTTATCTGTAAAGACTTTTAATCCAGGGGTACTTTTTGTACTTCTTTGCACTGGACTTGTGTAAAAGTTTGAAATATGTAATGTTATAAATATGTTGTACATTTGTAAATTTTGAAGAGATTATGTCAATTATCTTGCCAAGGGTATGACTGATTTATACTGAAGGTTGCAATCAGTGGAAACCTAAAGATTGAAGTAAGACTACTGATTTTAATATAAACAAAAGTAATTCTAAATGTGAAAACTACTGATCTTGCCACGTAATAAGAATTCTTCACAAACACATTTTGATGAAACTAAATGATCGAAAACATATATAAAACACGTACACTGGAGCTTTAGCATTTCAGTTATTTGTACACAGTGAAATTCGTAATAAATGGTCATTCAAACTATGATAAACTAATTGTTAATCACAGAAAACTGACACACACACACACACACACACACACACACACACACACACACACAGTGTAGATATGCTCCAATCCTGGTAAGCAAAGAAGATCTTCACAAAAAAGTTCATTTGATTATTCAAAATTAAATATTCATAAAAATATTGTTTTATAATTGTTTCTTCTGAAATCTAAGTAGTTTAATTTTGTTCGTTTTTAATTAGTTGTGATTCAGCAGGCCGTTGCTGAAGTCATGGGTGTAGGACCAAACAGCATAAGGGAAAGCACTGTCGAACACCAAGGTGTCATGTGCAAAAAATGGTAGCTACAGAACTTATGATAAAAACCTAAATAATGAATAATCTGAGGACAGACTCATCGATTGGGTTAAAATAATTGTAGCAGATGCTTCCTAACATTTTATGCAGAGGAAATATAGGATCAGTCAGAAAATTTGAATCAATAATATTTTTCTTTTAATTTGACTTCCAGCTTTACAGTTCATTTACCTTGGTGCAACAGGGATAGTCATATTCACTGGTTTGAATTGAATTCTAGTTCTTGTAAAGCAAAAGTTTTGAAATTGGAGAGGAAGAACAGAGTTTGTTTCTAACTCTAAAACTCTTTGCAAAAAAGAACTGTGGATTGAGGGAAACATCTACTTAAAAAAAATGCTTTTCTGACCACTGAAGCTTTCAAAGGAACCAGATGAAATCAGTTTATTCTGGTCCAGTTACGAATGTGAGCAAAATATCTATTGATTATAAAATGCTTTGAGATTTTCAGAAATTCCTTTAATTACAATCAAATACATTGTGAAAAGTAAATACAATTTAAAACTGGAAAATAGAACCAATGGGAAATACAGCATTGGATACAGGTGACTGTTTATACAGATTACACTTTTAAGTATATACCTCATGACCAATATTAAAATGATTAGGCCCGGATATGTTCTCTTATCCGTCAGGATTCAAGGAATGATTGGGATGACGGTTCATCTTGGCTTACTTCACACTGAAGTACAATTCCAACAGGTATTATCCAGTAAATGGCCTAGACTAGCTGCCTAAATTTTAGTTAAAGGCCTGCACATCTACTCCATATTGATTGTACTTAATGTGATTATAGTTTTATATATTTTACATCATAAGAATGAATATTTTAGAATCCTTTGTATGCTAATTTTGATGGATGTATTTTAATTAGCATGAAATTTACGTTGTACTTCGATCAAGAAAAGAATTGTTACTGGAATAAATATGCTCAAAATGTCCAATAAATTTTGTTATTTTATCATACTTCAGTATCCTTTAGTTCTTCTTACAGAAGGAAATTGTCAGGGGGTGGGAAATACTTTAAAACAGCACTTTCCTGGGAGAAATTCACTGTTAGTTATTTTGCTTGCTGAGATAATTGCCTATATAGCTTATATTCACACCTTACCACCAGAAGTTCCAGACTGGAATGATCACCTTAGCTGTCAACACTTAACATTTCCTTTCAAAGCACCACGGAAAGATAAAATTGAACAGTACTTTTTGGTAAGATTTGCACGACAATATTCTTTTGTAACAATTTCTTTGGGCTGATTCTTAGTTTTTTTTTGACCAAGTGTAAATTGCATCAAGTTTATTGGCCAAATGAGATTTCTCACCAAATTTTACAGAACACACCACATTAATAGGCATTCTTACTCCTATGGTGCCTATCACTGTCTAGTTTCTGCCCCATCTTGCCACATGCTATTCCAAGAACAACTCACTGCTGTCCAGACCTCCCAGAAATGACTGACATCGCTGGCAGAGGGCCATCTTTAAAAGCCCATTATGCATCCAGAGAAATAGACATGTTCAAGTCTGGTATGACTCTGAAGAATGAGTACTGAAGAAGAGTCATACTGGACTCAAAATATTACTACTGTTTCTCTCTCCACAAATGCGACCAGACCAGCTGACTTTCTCCAGCATTCTGCATATTTGTTTTAGGCTTTAAAAGTACAATTCCCATCCCACTAACTTCTCAAGTGTTTCTCTAACTCTAGCTTCATAATCATAGAATCCCTACAGTATGGAAACAGGCCATTCAGCCCAACAAGTCCACACTGCCCCTCTGAAGAGTATCCCACCCAGACCCATTCCCCATGTCTAACCCAAACATCCCTGGGCACTATAGTATGGCCAATCCACCTACCCTGCACATCTTTGGAGTGTGGGAGGAAGCTCGAGCACCCAAAGGAAACCCACACAGACACAGGGAGAATGTGCAAACTCCACACAGACAGTCGCCTGAGGGTGGAATTGAACCCAGGTCCCTGGCGCTGTGAGGCAGCAGTGCTAACCACTGAGCCACCTTCTTGTGTGTCCACTCACCTTGCTTTTATTGGTGGTTATGCATTCAGCCAGAAAGGCTCCTTATTCCGGAATTCTTTCCTCTACTATCTTACTTGACATTCTGTTCTCTCCCATATCATTGGCCAAGATTTCCTTCACTCTCTTAATAGTTCCTTCCTTGCTTGACATCATTTTGTTTCATTCACACATCAGTAAAGTATGTTAATACATTTTTCTAGGAAATGATAACTATTTAAATGCAAACTGTTGTCATTGCCAAATCAAATAATGTACTTGTTGTACTGTATACTTTACTCTTTGCAGCAGATCTGGGCATATTCCTGATGTCTGTACTTTCAGCCAGGGACTTTACATGCCTGCATCCACGAGTGGCGGTGCATTTTACTTCTAATGCAGCACAGAAACCTCACCACTACTATGGAGTTGCACACTTGTCAACTCCCCTTCTGGTGTCTTACTTGGGTGTAAACCTGCTGATGGCACACCAATATGTTCTGCAATAATATAAATAATTTCACTTACATGGCTCATTCAGATCCTTGAGCACCATACTATATTGACTTTCTCCATTCTAAGCCAGTAAAATGCTCAGGCATGATACAAGAACCAAATGGATGAATTAAGAAGAACTAGAACATAGAACATAGAAAAGTACAGCATAGTATAGGCCCTTCGGCCCACGAAGTTGTGCCGACTATTATCCTACTATGATCAAACTACCCTGCATACCCTACATTTTACTATCCTCCATGTGCCTATCCAAGAGTCACTTAAAAGTCTCTGAAGTATCTGACATAAGCATATCCATATAGATATGCATAGAAATTGGTCTATTTTGCTTTGAATATACTTCAAAAGACTAGTGCAATTCAATGCAGGAACAGGTAGGCCATCCTGTATTTCATTTCTAGACATCTTTACTATGTGTGCATTATGTCCAGTCCACATACATCCATTTAGGCTTAGAGTGAGAGAGCTGTGTTTTTTGGGAAAAACGTTTTTTTAAACAAATACATCATGAAGGGTTTTAGTCCATGCAAATTATACATTTTTTTTTCCCCAGATCACTGTTCAATTCTTATTCACATTGGTGTTGACATGGAAAAAGCAACAAATCTCTCTTGCTTCAACAAAACAAAGTCCAACTATTCCACGGGAAAAACACAATTCCGTATTCAAACATTGAAACAATGCATTATTACAGAGGTTCATAAAAGAAAACATTAAAAATTATGTTTTTAGAAAACATTGATGCTACCATTAAGACTTACCTAGATAAGTTTAGTCTCTGGAACCATTCAAAACTTCCAAAATTGACATTAACAATTTGCTATGTTAAACAGAATTGGCTCATGAATGAGATGTAAAAATTACAGGAAACAAAGTATATTTTAGGTTCCAACAGATTAAAGAGGTTAAAGAATAAATGCAGTCTCTAAATCTCAGATAAACGTTCAAGATCTTATTGTTGTAGAATATGGGTTTATGTGCGTGAAAAAGACAGACAATGTACATTAGCATCAATAACTTGAAACACCATCATAAAATATCTCAGTAGCATCTTCAGTGAAAGCGACATCAGTCAAAACTTGACAGCACCTTAAAGGCAGAGCCTTGCAATTACAAATCCACTCTCAGTAGCAAATATTCTGACAGTACTGAGAGTTGGCAAATTGGATCGCAACAAAAAGTAATTACAATATTTTCAAATTTAGAAATGAACCACATCTAAAATGGCACAGGAAGGAATTTTCTATGCTCAATTATTGCAGACTTACATTTAATTTTTTCCTGAGATATTTTAACTTGTTGTAAAGTTACTGATCACATATAAAATCTAAGTACAATCCTCTATTTATTCTGTCTGAACAAGTGCTTTCTTACCGAATTAAAACTTAGAAAAACATTACCTGGTAATAATGCTACATATAGTGCCTACGTGTAATTCTAGTAGAGTGGATGATTTGATTACACAACAATTACGTTCCTGGCTTTTGATTTTCTCAAACAATATGCAGGGGTCGGTAAAAACAAACGTAACATGCAATCTACTAGAAATGATGGTGCATAGGAGATAGGAATCCAGAAAAACTTAGCATCCCATCCGGCGCTGTAACGTGTTCGTGGATACTTGGCTGTCAAAGCATGGTCCATGCAGTTAGTCACCTTCTCAAGGTCAGTAGAACACAGTGCGTGCATTGAAAACCGTTGTACTTTAATGTCTAGAAAATGAGCACTCAAGTTATACTAAAACTGTTATTCACAGCATATTATTGAAGACAATTATCGTACTTTTTGAATAACAATTATGCGTTGTTGCATTTGAACTTTCAGTTTAAATGTAAGCTAGCACGAAGCAATGTACAGTATCACACTCAAAACTATGCATTTAAAACAATTCAAAGTAATAAATAGCAGATCAGTCACAACAGGACAGCACTGGTGTAAATAGCCATTTTAATTTAAACAGTTATTTGTTAGTAAAGCACTTGAAAATTGGTGATAGGAGGATCAGGTTGCTAAAGGTTAGGGAGCCGACAGTTTCCCAAAGCTATTACCATAGTGATGCCTCATTGCAACCAGTTTGCACTCCTTCTGAGGTATAAATTGTTGTGATTGTTTGAAATTTGACATTTTTTTCCAATTCTTGTCATGAGTGGAAAACCTTTGACAGCATGTCTCTTTAAAAAGGTGCAAGAATTTTATACATGAATAAGAAATGAATGACTTACTAATACACACTTACAATTATTAAAATACTTTGGCCCATAGTAATCCCTGGTCTGAGGGGTCAGTCTCTCCCAAAGCTGTTGAAGGTTTTTCTCAATAAACTCTAAGTTTGTAGTTTCTGTCTTGAAGAAACCCGGTTCAATAATGCTGACTTTCATTCCAAAGTGCTGCATATCCCTCCTATAAAGAAATTCACAAGAGTTTAGTTTGCTCCAGCTTTCCAAATGTTTTGACAAATTATGTGACATGATGTGTTAAGCTGGAGGGAGGACAGAAAGAAATTATCCAGCTCTTTAAAGGTATTCAAATCATAATCTGTTCCCTTTCTTACAGCTATCTCTGACTAACATTCTCACAAAAGTGAAACACTGAGTGCTGGAAACCCAAAATAAAAGCAGAAAACATTGGAAGTGCCTACAGAAAGAACAACAGAGAGCCAAATCTTATGTTTTTTTGACTGCGAATCACTGACTTTTTTTGTAGGGTTTCTTGTCACAAGGCACAGCAAGATTCTTGATGTTTCATACCAAACTCGCTTCGTCAACTACCTACTCTGTGAGGTCCTTCAAATCCAATTCTATCCCCACCTAATCATGCCCCAGAAAAACTCTCCACTTAACGGAAATCTGCTGAAAGACCAGCATCCTTGGCATCTGTACGGTATTTAAGAGGCTATTATACACCCAGATGAACACTGGCATTCCAAATAACTTCCCTGCTCATTAACAGACAGAATGTGAACATTTTGGAGAGGGGAAGCTGATGCTGCTGCTCTCAGACAGGGACTCGGTGGTGATGGGGCATAAAAAGGGGTGGCCTCTTCCCAAAAGGGTAGTCAGAGGCAGCAACACCAGACTTTGGCAGCGTGGTCCATAGTCATCACGAGGGTCACTGCCATCTCATTGATGCAAATGAACAACCAGTGCTGTGAGAAGGTCAGTGCCCTTCTCCACTTTGCAGGATATGTGTAACACTTCTCTCTTAGCCCTCACATTCACTATCTCTGCTACTGCACTCCTCCCACCAAGGGTTATGATCTATCACTCTCGTCACAAACAGTTATGCCACCCACTTTCACATCACTCAATTCCCCCTTTTCCAGGAGGATCAGCCCACCATAGGACAGAAAGGGCCCAGATATGTAAAGGGAGTCCAAAATTAGACTCGTCAACCCGTACAAAGAGAGAATCCTGATCATCACAGGACAAGACCAGGACCATTCCTACAAGGATGCCAAGACATCATAGAGTCACACAGCGTGGAAACAGACCCATCAGTCCAACTTGATGCCAACCAGAAAGCCTAAACTGATCTAGTCCCATTTTCCAGCATTTGATGCATATGCCTCTAAGCCCTTTCAATTCATGCACCCATCAAGATCACTTTTAAATGTTGTAATTACTATCCTGCCAACCAAGTAAGTTCTACTCTTCATTCCAGTGCAACTCTCACAGTAACCCTGCTGTTGGTGTCATTCATTGCACAGTATTTCTAATTGCAGACCACATCACACACTGTCTCATCTTCCAGAAACTGCCAGCATCTCCACAAACACCATGGTGAAACAGCCAGCCTCACCAGAAGTCACCTCCTGGACCTCTGAGGATAAGGCTTCAGAGGAAGCATTGGCAAAACTGCCTCCTGCACCCCCCATCAGCTCAGATTCTGGCTCCTCGGTAGGAACGTTAGCTTCAGCAAATTTGGGAGCACATACTAGTAAGCACCTCAAATTGACAGTTTCACAGCTGGCCAAGGAAGAAACAGCCATGCCACTGGCACCCAGAGGACTGTCAGAACCCAGGTACCTGGTCAGCACCAGGATTATCAGCAATGAGGGTGCCCACATGCACAGTTGCAGCAGACAGGAGTGGGGGAGATAATGGCCCTCCTTGCCCTGAGGCTACAGGAATGCATTAACACATGTGATCACTCGGTTGTCTCCATGGGCAGCCAGCTCCAGTCCCCTCAGCATCTGTTGGAGAAGTGCACACGCCTGCACTCCATCACCACAGCCATTGCTCCTCAGGACTAAGGCATGGAGACAGGGATGCCATGAACGTGCCCCTTCCTCACAAGGGGTCAGGCTATACCTGGAGGTTCCCAGCCAGAGAGGGAGCCACACAGATACCCCCTATAAGTCTCCTGTCAAGGACACACCGAGGTGGTCATGAGCTCCACCTCCACCCTGCTTGACCTCTCCAACCCTTAATAAAAAGTGGGTCCAAAGACCCTCAAGCAGGTCAGAGATGTTTAGACACAAACATCACCCAAGATGGGCTGACTAAACCTCCAGGCCAACTAACTCCACCTCTGAGGAGGATCCCTCACCCCAGATGCAGATCCACGGATTACACTCAGACATAGTGATGCAGTGGGTGAGGGAATGGAGAGACAAAGTAAGAAAACCTATTGAAGGCACTTTGGCAACACGGATGACATTGCACTGTACATTAATTTTCACATTTGTTTAAATGTTATTATTTTGGCTTTACACAGTTTATTGGAGTGTGTGTATTGTGCTGAAGATAACTGTGCCAGCATGATGCTACAAAGTACGTACCATGCTTTGATGCCTGTATTGACAGCCTGTTGCAGCATGTGGAAGTAGGTTGGATCAAGGATTATACAGGGCAATAGGTCCTGCTATCACCATTGCTCCTTGTCTCACAACATCCAAATTCCTTCCCTGGCCTGTGCATCCAGTAATATCTGGGGCAGAGGGGTGTACAGGACACAGGGAGCCAGTGCATTAGGATTGGCAGTGATTACTGAGCCCATGTCTGTGTCCTATACAGTCCATGGGTCTGTTTTAATGTTGTCTCCCCTTAAAAGGAACTCACATCGGTGGGTCCTGCAGCCTCCTCCCCCACAGTTTGAGACATTAATCCCATCCACTCCAGGTGTGGTCACAACCATTCTCCTTTTGATTTCCAGCATGACAGATGGTGACAGTAAGTAATCTTCGGCCAGCGACTTTCAGCCTTCACCTGCTCACAATGCTGAGGCTGCAAACATCGAGATCTCCTTTCTGTTAATCCTTTAGGTTTTGAACCTTTCCGGGTTCCTCCACATAACCCATCTACGTAGGTCTGCACCTTTCCACCTTTCTCTCCCAGCCACTGGTATTTGAGGTAACCATGACAAGTGTAGTCATACACTAGCCCCTCCTTGAAGCCAGGATATTCCTGACCATGGACATGACTCCCTTCCCCAATAATGCCTGACTGTATTGCCTAATTTTCACGACTGTCACTCCTCCTTACACCCAGCCTGCAGCCCTCAATCCTGAAGAACAGGTTACTTAATCTCTCCCAACAGCAGGAGCCCTGCCACTAGTCTCACGCCCACCAACCCTCCATCCCTCTTTCCCCTTAGCTTTTGCAGATGGGCCCACGGTCCAGACCATGGGCCAACACACCCCCCACCCGCACCACCCCATAGTTGGCCTAACTGGATGAGAAGTGCCCAGAACCATAACTGGGGGGGCTATACTTCTCCCAAAGACATCAGCCCTACTCCCCAGACTGGCCGTTATGCAGCCACAGTACTGACTCACTCTCTGGATTGTAGAGGCATGGACCCCCTCACCAAAATCACCCTGACTGGATGCCTGACCATGGCCAATTCCCTGGACCGATGTAGCAGGCTGCCATTGATTGACTGATGGGCACATCTATGGAGATCAATGACAACTACTCACTCAAGACTTTAGACATGGCTACTTGCTTGCTGTATGTGCCATATGTTTGCCATATAAGCTGCAAGTGCCAGTAGCTTATAAGACTGAATCAGCTCACTGCCAAAACAGCAAGATATATGCCCCCTTGAATGACCAGCAAGACAAGCTACCTGGTTGTGTAACTGGGCTAACTGGCACAGCAAAAGTTCAGCAAGTGGATCAGAGAGATACCATGACAGCCATGAGGGGATGTCAAACTTCAGATTCCAATGTCCATGTACAAGGTGTCCATGGTACGTGGCCTAAGGTGCTGTCTGGTGCTAATCAACATGGAACCTCCTCACACACAGCAATCAGCTGAAGTCACCAGGTACCTGCCCTGATTCCCATTTTGGGAATTGTTCATGTCTAACTTCTTCTGTGTTTTCAGCAAGATAGTAAGCTGAATATTAATGATGAGTTGTGACATTAAAACACAAACAAGCTATAATCCCCTTTTATTAGCAGCTCACTGTTGACTAGCTAGGAACTCATCTCACTGCTCAGTGAATCCATAAAAGATGCTGTAAGTTGCTCCCAACATCAAGATGATATCTCTGGACTTCTTACCCGATTCTGCCATATTGTATTACTCTCATACCCCTATAAGATTCTTTCCAGAGTCAACTTTTCAGGTTGATTGAAATTTCAGAGTTTCGTGAATCCAAAATGTCAACTAGTTCTTTCCAAAAAATGCTGACAGAATTGCTGAGTATTTACGGCATTTTCTGTTTCTGTCTAACACTGATGAAATAGTTAAGCATCATGTTATCAAAACATGCATTTGTATTCAATGATTGTATCATTGGAAAGCCCAAACTGCTTCACTCAATATAAAAATTGGACTCCACGTCAAACATGAATCAATTTTAAAATAACAAAGAATTGCAGATACTGGAAATCAGAAACAAAAACAAAATTGCTGGGAAAATGCAGCAGGTCTGGCAGCGTCTGTGGAGAGAGCTAGCACAAAGCTTTTGCATTACATACAAAAAAGGTAGTTACAAAGAAGTGTAATACATTTTGAATTTCCACAGAATGGTTTGCATATCCTCTGAAGGAACATCAAATATAAAACAATTCCCATTTGCAGCATTTCTCTGCGGGTTCCATCAAACTCTGCCAAAGTTATGCTATTGGAAGATTAGGAAAAACCCCATAAAAATTCAAGGGCATGATGTTTATGCCTCTTTGCAGAGGGTAATGGTGGGTATTGGAAAATGACTGGATTGCTCCACATGGAGCAGGCATAAATTCACAGTGCCCATTCGCCTCCTTGTATACCATAATGACTACATAACTCTATGAAATTCAATGCAATCATTTATAACCTGCTTGCCAGATTTATTAGCCACTTACCTTAAACTGTCTGAAAATGACTCCACTCCGCATTTTGAAACACAGTAGCCACCACCAGCAAATGAAATACGACCCATGACACTAGCAACATTCACAATCCTTCCCTTTGCCTTTTTCACCAGTGGAAGAAAATGAAGGGTGACGTTAATAAGTCCAACTAGGTTAACATCCAAGACACTGGTAAAATCTTCCACTGTCAGCCATTCTGTGGGTGCTATTGGAATTGCTCTTCCAGCATTATTCACTAAACCCCATAGACCTGCAGGTCAGATAGACAATGTTACATGATTTAGGTTGTTTGTGAAATGACACGTTAATTCTCATCGAAATTAACAAGAGGTGATGTCCAGAACTTATGCTTCTTAGGTAATGATCTTGTGAAATGCCTACCTAATGTTAAAGGCTCTGGACCAATGCAAGTTGTCATTGAGGATGCTAAAAACTGTTGCACAACTCAAAAATAATTTGTTGGTTGCGGGGCTCTTTGGGAGGCACTGTATGAATGCAAATTCTTTCTTTAAATTAATTCTATAAATTTAGCCCACTGGCCCCATCATGCTTGTACCAGTGCTAGCACCTTAACTGTGGATTTCTGTCCTAATCCAATATGCTAGCTTTCATTTCATTCTTCTAAGACTTTCATAGTCAATAAATTTCACTTCAACATTTGCTAATGATAAAGCATTCCCACCATAAAATTTGCTGATATGGGCAAAGACACCTGGAACCAAAATCATCCAACAGCTTCTAGTCAATTACAGAATGGCCTTGACACTGTGCCACATAAAGACAAAAGAAAAAGGAAACAGAGTATAAAAGTGCACAGGTTTTGCTAAGAATCTGGGTGGCACAGTGGCTCAGTGGTTAGCAGTGCTGCTTCACAGCACCAGGAACCCGGATTTGATTCCACCCTTGGGTGACTGTCTGTGTGGAGTTTGCACATTCTCCCTGTGTCTGTGTGAGTTTCCTCCGGGTGCTCTGGTTTCTCCCCACAGTCCAAAGATGTGCAGGTTAGGTGGATTGGCCATGCTAAATTGCCCGTAGTGTTCAGGGATGTGTAGAATAGGTGGGTTACAGGGGGACGGGTCTGGGTGGGATGCTCTCAGGATCAGTGTGGACTTGTTGTTTGAAGGGCCTGTTTCCACACTGTAGGGATTCTATGATCTATGATGATCTATACCACAGCTGGAATACTGTGAACAATTTTGGGCCACTTAACTAAGGAAAGATATTCAAGCATTAGAGAAAGTCTGGAAGAAAATGAAGGGTGACATTAATAAATCTAACTAAGTTAACATTCAAGGCATCTCACTGAATGGCCAATCAGACTTGGTGGGGTGAATGGCGAACTTCTGCAGGTATGGTTTATGGTTTTATTGTAAAAGCGCTAATTCAGTCATGCCATTCAGGTGCTGGAAGCAAGCAGGATAGCAGAACAGTATTAGAATCTTATGCTGATTTGAATCATGGTCTACCATTTTGGATTAAGCAGTGCCTGTTAATGGCCTTCCCGGATCATTCTCAGCTGAATATATGCCTAGTGACACAAGGAACGCTTGCTCCCTACCCCCACAGTTAGTAAAGTTATTATGATGGAACCTCCAGATAAGACACTTTTGACTTTCTTGTTTTCTTGTCTTTCACATTATACAAGAAGTGCTGTGATGTGTTTTCTTGGAGGAATTTGGAAAGATTCTTAGATTCAGAAGGGATTGATGCTGGATTTCGATAAGTAGGGCAATGTATAGTTGTAGTCTCCTTAGGCTACAGCATGACAAGCAGATGAAGCACAGGCATCAAAAAATGGAAAAGCTATACCAAGGAGGAGGAGTAGGACGACTCTCAATTAAAGGCCAGACCTATCAAGGAGCACCAGAATGCTCTTTGCTGAGCTGGAGATACGAATTGCAAAGTCTAATCTGGCTACATTTCACCAAGAAGGTGCTAATTGAGCTATGCCACCTCCTACAATCAGACCTAGAGTCAAGCTGCAGGGCAAAGATAAGGTTGCCATCAACATTTTGGATGATAGGGCTGCTCTCTTATTAGAGAGACACAACTAGTGGTTGTTTAACCTGAGGGCCACCAAGCCTTGGGTGAGGGAACAAGTTGAGAAGGAGAGTCCTTCATGGTGACCTCAGCCAGGGAATTGAAACCAAAGTGTTGGCATCACAGTGCATCACAGACCAGCTGTCCAGCCAACTAAGCTAACCAATCCCCAGGACAAGGATAGCGCTGCTGTGTTCTTGAAGATCACCATCACCTTCAATTCCTATATCAGTTGACCCTTCCAGGTGGGAAAAATCAACATTACCGACAGTTCACAGCCTACAGTGCATCAATACTGAGGTAGCAAATACCTTGTATCACAGTAAATCTAACTTCATAATTTTCTGTTTACTGGAGAGAAGTGGGAGCCAACATGTTTCTTTATAGGAAAATTAGCTTTCTAATGACAATGTGCTAACAATGACATTCAAATAGTTCCATTGACCCCCAAGTATTAATGGTATGATGTGCCACAACCATAGGGCTAACTGCAGTTGGTGTGTCACCATACGCAGAACATTCACCTCCTGTCGTTCAAATCCCACCACGGCAGATAGTGGAATTTGAATTCAAAAATGTAAAATGTGGAATTAAGAGTCTGATGTTGATTGTTGATTGTCTGGGAAAAATCCGTCTGATTCACTAATGGCCTTTAGGGAAAGAAACTGCTGTCCTTACTTGGTCTGGACTGCATATGACTCCTCAGAGGGCAGGCATTTTTCGCTGGGCCAAATGGCCTCTCTTTCTGCACTATAGGGACACTATAATTCTATTAAACTTGCCCAGGTATGTTGTGTAGATGAAAAGCAGGACAATTCCACCCAGCCAATTATCAACTCACCCCATCAGTCTACTCTCGATCATCAGTAAAGTGATGTAAGGTGTCATGAACAGTGCTATCAAGCAGCACCTGCTCAGCAATAACCTGCTTAGTGACACCCAGTTTGGGTTCTGTCAGGACCACTCAGCTTCTGACCTCATTACAGCTTTGGTTCAAACATGGACAAAACAGCTGAATTCCAGAGGTGAGGTGAGAATGACAGCCATTGACATCAAGGCCACATTCGACTGAGTGTAGCATCAAAGAACCCCAGCAAAACTGGAATCAATGTGTATTAGGGGGCAAACTCTCCACTGGTTGGAGTCATACCTGGCACAGAGGAAGATGGTCATGATTGTTGGATGTCTATCATCTCAGCTCCAGGACGTCTCTAAAGGACCTGCTCAGGGTAATGTCCTAGGCCCAACCATCTTCAGTTGCTTGAATGACCTTTCCTCCATCATAAAAGGTCAGAAATGGGGATGTTCCCCGAATATTGGTGACTCCTCAGATACTGAAACAATCCATGTTCAAATACAAGATCTGGACAACATCCAGGCTTGGGCTCAGAAGTGGCAATTAACATTCACGCTACACAAATGCAATGTAACCATCGCAGTCAATGGTTTTACCATCATTGAATCTCTCATATCAAGACCCTTGGGGTCAGCAGTGAGCAGAAACTCAACCGGCCTCACCACATAAACAGAGTAACTATAAGAGCAGGTCAGAAGCTAGGATAGTGTGGTACGTAACTCACCTCCTGACTCCCCAAACCCTCCTGCACCTACAAGGGACAAGTCAGACTGCTAGAATAAGTGCAACTCCAACAGTCAAGAAGCTTGACACCATCCTGGACAAAGCAGCCTGCTCGACTGGCACCATACCCACAAATATCCACTCCTGTCCACCACTAGTGCACAGTAGCAACAATGTATAATATTTACTAGATGCACTTCAGAAGTTCACCAAAAATCCTTAAACAGAGCCACCAAACCAACTACCATTTCCATCAAGGTGGTCAAGGGCAGCAGATATGTGGGAACACCAGAACCTGCAAGTTCTCCTCCAAGTTACTCACCATCCCAATTTGCAAATATATCACCCTTCTTTCACGGTCGCTGGGTCAAAATCCTGGAATTTATTCCCAAGCGCATTGTGGGTCTACTTACAGCATGAGGACTGCAGCAGTTCAAAAAGGCAGCTCGCCATCATCTTCAAGCACAACTCGGGATGGGCAATAAAAGCTGGCCAGGCAGCAACAGCCAAATCTTACAAGTGAAAATAAAACTATGGCCCAAATGTCCCAATTTCAGTTGCAACAGACTTGACCAAAGTAGTAATTATTTTTAATGTTATCCACTTATCTGAATGCAAATTTTGCAACTAAGATTCCAATTTTAGCCTCTCCTGAATGCATCCATCAGAGATAACAAGGAAGAAATCCACTCAACACAGGAGTAGCATTGCAGGCCAAGACACTCCCCTTTTTCAGAATACTTGCTACTGTATTTCAGAAGTTGGAGGTTCCAAGGATACTTTGACAGCAATGGAGGGAAGGTCAGTGTGTAGTTTAAGTGAGGGGCTACTGGGTAGGTAAAGAGGTAACATGTCATGTGGGTAGGGTACCAAATGGATGTGAGAGATAGTGTGCTAAGTGGATAGAAAGGATATAGTGTACCAAGTGGGTGAGGGGGCTTGTGATCCTAGCCTGTAGTGTGGCAGGCTGGTAAGGGGACAGATGGTTGAAGGAGCTAGTACGCCACATGATCAAAGGGGGTTGTACGCCAGGTGGATTGGAGAGGTAGGGTGGCAGGAGGCTGCTTTTTGGGTAAGTTGGGATGATTGGTCAGGTCTCATTCAGGGGAGGTTGTGATGGGTTATTGCCGGTTCAGCAGGACTGGGTCTGTGAATGTTCTTGGCTTCCAACTCTGATGTTGGCATTGACAGGACTGGGTACTGGGCTGGAAGTTGCATGCAGATGGGTTTGTATGGCACCAGCAGGACATTGCCAGCGAGTTTCTGTTGGTTTCAGCAGGGCAAGGTAGGGTGGCATGGGCCATGTTATGAGGAGCAGAGTGTCACTTCAGGGAGTCAGGGATCAGATGTAGTGGGGAGATGTGTGTGTGCATGCACAAAACTCTTGGGTAGTTATTACAAAATGTTTATAATTTTTTTTTCCTGGGGAATTAAGTTTATGTGAGTTTGCACAATTCTAGTTTATGCTTCCCCAACTACTCTTTAGACATATTAAAACATTAGAAAATTGCTCCATTAATTTGTTCCTGGTCACTCATATCTACATTTTTGAAAGGATTTGTCATTACAGAGGTAATGTGATCAAAAATCTTTGTTGGCAAAATATGGCAGTTGGTTTGCATAATGTGCAGGAGGAGATAAGTTATCGAAAGACATTTTAACACTCCTGGTTGGAGTCCAAGTTTAAAGAAACAATATAATTCTTGCAAAATTACTTACAAGACATTTAAAGAAGTTTGTACATGAAGATAACCTAATTGGTGACTATCATCATCACGGATTATTTCTCCATTGAGACAAAATAAAAAATGTGAGACACATAGAAACAACTCATGCAACTGTATAACAGATGATGTTTATTCCAGTAATTGGTCTTACCTCCAAGTATTAGCAGAGTGCTATTTGTTCAGAAAATTGAAGCTCTGCTACTTAGTAATTATATGAAATTCAAAAAGAATATCACAGAAAAATCATTTTATCCTTAATATTTTAACTAACAGTTGGAGAAAAAAAGACCAAAAATTCCATCTCACTAACCTTGGTCTCCAACTTCTGCTTGTACAAATTCCACTGCTTTCTGAATATGATCTTGGCTGGTCACATTGAGCCTGACAGTTTTCAGTTTGGATGAACAGTCTGTCTGTAGTTTCTCTGCTCCGCTTTCTGTGAAGCAAGCAGCGATTACACGAAACCCTCGTTTGTCAAGCTGCTTTGCCAGTAAGTTTCCAAAGCCAGTGTCACATCCAGTAATAAAGATATATTTGTCCTTGATATTTTTGAGTTCCAGGTTGTCTCTAATTAACCAGCAAAGGAAGATGAAGATGACAATTCCCAGAATAGATGTCTGTATTGGAGCTGTATGAACCAACTAACAGAAGTACACTAATTACTTTAAAATACCTTCTGAGGTATATTAGTTGTATAGAAGTCTATGAATAAATAATAATATAGTTAGCCCATGGCTAATTATTTGTTAAAATACTCATTTTCATAATGAATACAAAAGGAATAATAGTCTGAAGAAAATTTAGACATTGTAATAGTTGTTACAAGGAAATATCTTCTAATGAGATATCATGCAGACTTTTTGTAGGCTACCAAATGAAGAGGGAATGATGGGAGGAAGGAAGAATATTACAACATTTTTTAAAACTAATATTAGAATCATAGTGTTCTACAGCACTGTAAGAGGCCTTTTGGCCCATCATGTCTGCATCGGTCATCAAACATCCATCTATTCTAATTCCATTTTCCAGCACTTAGACCATATCCTTGAATGATAATGGCATTTCAAATACTCATCTAAAAAGATCCCTAACCTTGAGGGTTCCTGCATCTATCACCTTCCAGGCAGCAAGTTCCAGACTACCACAACATTCTAGGTGAAAATTTGTTCCTCAAATTCTCTCTAAACCTCCTGCTCCCTACTTTAAAACTGTGCCCCTGAGTTGTTTACACCCTACTAAAGGGGAAAGGTGTCTCCCTATCTGTGCCCCTGAGAACTTTGTACACTTCAAAACAGACACCCCTTCAGCTTTCTTTAATGGAAAAGAAGTTTAGCCTATCCAGCTTCCCCTCATAGTTCAACTGCTCGAGCCCAGGCAACATCCTAATGAATCTCTTGTGTCCTCTCTAATACAGTCACATCCTTCCTATAGTATGGCAACCAGAATTGCACATAGTATTACAGCTGTGGCTTAACTAATATTGCACACATCTCCTTCACAAATGCCTTCAACTTGTATTCAATGTGTTGACTAATAAAAAGCAATCCATAAGTCTTCTTACCCACCTTACCTACCTGTCCTGTTGCCTTCAAAGATCTATGGACTTGCTCACCAAGGTCTCTCTGAGCTTTTGCACTTCCCAGGGTCCTGCCATTCAACATGTACTCTTGCCTTGTTAGTCCTACCAAAATCATCACTTCACACTTTTCATTAAATTCCATTTGCCACTGTTCAGCCTATCTGTCCAGCCCAGCCATGTCATACTGTCATCTAAAGTTTTCCTCCTCGCTTTTTACTACACCACTAACCTTCATGTCTTCTGCAAACTTATTGATCATGCCTCCTACATTCATAGATAGATCATTAATACACACCAAACGGAAATGGACCAAGCACTATGCCCTGTGGTATGCCACTGTTATAAGCTTCCAGTTACAAAATGTTCCAGTTCCAGTTTCAACAATCAGCCTCTATTACTATCACGAAGCCAATTTTGGATACAATTTGCCAATTTGATCTGGATTTTATGAGCTTTTAGCTTCTTAACCAGTCTGCCATGTGACACCTTGTAAAAAGCCTTAAGGAAATCTATGTACTGCACTACCTTCATCTACACACACCCAGTCATCAAAAAGTACAATAAAATATACCTGTTTGTTAATCTCTCCCTTACAAAGACATGCTGATTGTCCTTGATTAATTTTTACCTTTAAGAGTGGAGATTAATTCAATCCCTCAGAATTTTCTTCCAATGGTTTCCTACCACAGATCTTAACCTCACTGGCCTGTAGTTTCTTTGTTTAAACCTACCATCCTTCTTGAATAATCATGATTCTTTTAAAGTGAAGTCACTATTGTAATGGAAGGAAACAGTCAATTATTAAATTGTAGTGATTGGAACCAGGTAGATCTTGTTAACTATGAGATCTTTGATTGATTCAGGTTAACAATCTCAATCAGGAATCCCTGGCTGACCAATATTAGATTTAGAGTCTCCTCAGTTCAGTGGACTGACTCAAAGCTGGTTGGCCACAGCCAGTGTACTGTGAACAAGTAAATAAAGCACGTGTTGCTGACAGGATACCAGCCTATGTGCAGTTATTTCATAAATATAATAAAGGATGGAGCTATTTGAAATCAAGTAACAAGTATTGCCAACAACATCAGTCCAGCTGTTTGATAACTTGGCATTTGGATGAAAGGTCAATAACTTGAAATATTAACTCTTTCTCCACAGCTGCTGTCTGATCTGCTGAGTTTTCCAGTTTTTTTTTGTTCTTGTTTTAGGTTTTCAGAGTTCACATTATTTTTGAGTAACTTAGATTCTGGTCATAGTAAAGAAAGATTCCCAATTCCATTCTTCAGTTTAATTCAACTCTTATCAACAATCAGTCTGAATCCACAGAAGTGAGCCACCACTTCAAGTTTGAAAAAAACCCAAACCATGTAAAGCACAGATCTGAGCCACTTTACTTTGGACATTATTATACATGGTGCATGGGTAAGGTTACTGTAGGATATTTTTCATATATGGTTGTGCCTGGCACCCAAAAAACTTTTACCTTCAGAAACTGCATTACAATATTGTTTTTTGTGCAAATATTTATTAGGTGTCAATTTTTTCGTTGAGAAATTGCAGCAGGAACAGCTCCTCAATCTTGCTGCGCCATTCAATAAAATTTTAAACTGATCTACTGCCTAAACACCCATCTTATTGCCTGCTCCCATATCGTTGATTCTTTGACAGACCAAAACATCTGTCCTAGAATTAGAATGTAACACCCACAAACCTCTCAGGTCAAGAAGCCAAAAGATTAACATCCTCATGACTGAAGAAATTTCTAATCCCAGTCTGAAATGATTGGTTCTGTATACTGAGACCATGTCCCATGTCTACTTTCACCAACCAGGAGACATAAGGTCCGAGTGTCTACGTTGTTAAGTCCCTTCAGAATTTCGTGTTTCACTGACAGCATCTCATTTCTCCAGAGAAAACAAGCACAATTTTTCAGCCACTCATCTGAAGTGAACCATTTCATGCAGGAACCAGTCTTGTGAACCATTATTGTATCGCATTGTATCACAGAACCATGATCTATTAAAAAGGAGCTTTCGGATTTAAAAGCCCATTTAATGAATACCATTTTGGTTATTTTTCACTTTAATGTTTTCCTAAAGTATGAAAATTAATTTGCCAGTTCATGATATACTCAAAAGATTTAGAAACTATTTGAAATCAAAATTGATAGCGGGGACTTTTTTGTGTAACTGAACAGTGACCTTAAATTTTAAATTATTAAATATAGTGTACTAATCCAAATCTATTTAGAATATCCTCCTTCATTATAGACCTTCTATGGGTACTGTTTTTGCCTCAACAATAAGTTTGTAATTATTTTTTTTTAATCATTTTACTGTTTACACAAAGATGCATTAAACATTATGGTGATATTGCAACACATTCATTATTTTCAATGGCAATAATTCTGCACTCATTCCTTATATTCAAATGAATTCCCCATTATCAGAGTGAAGACAAACATTATGCCAATTTTATGAGACTGACCTGCAGAACATTTTCAAAAACATCTCCTTTGGTAGATGCCTGACAATAAAAAAGACCACATTAAATTCATTGTACATTACGAAAAGGGGTGATTCTACCTTGGCAGGAACAAAATTAGCAGTGACTTAGCAAGATATCCAACCCTCCCAAACCTCCTTGCCTTTGACTTTAGAAAATCCAGATTTTGTTTTATTTTTTGTGCCAATTTTGAAAGGTATTTTTACCTCATCGTAACTCAGCATTATTAAGTTGAAAAAATGATGTTTAAAAAAATCGGATGAACTGCAAGATCTCATGTGACACAAGTGAAACACCACTAATTTTTTAAAAAATCTTGAATTACTGTGTAGCATGGAAAATGCAATGGCTAGGTTGTACACATCAAGATTGCATAACAGCAATGTGATAATGACTAGATAAATAAATAGCTTTGTTGTGATGTTGATGGGGGGATAAACATTAGCCATGACACCAAGGTTAACTCTTCAGCTCTTTTGATATGGAATCTTTCCTGTCCATGTGAAAGATAGGGCTTCAGTTTAACACTAAAATAAAACAAAGAACTGCAGATGCTGGAGATCTAAAACTGAAGAAATTCAACAGGCCTGGTAGTATGTGGAGAGAGAGGTTTGACACTTCTTCAGAATCTAATTGGCTTAACTGTTAGGCCATCTCAGAAGGTAGTTAAGAGTCAAGCACATTGCTGTGGATTGAGAGTCACATGTAAGGCAACAGATTTTCTTCCATAAAGGAATGGCAGTTTCTTAGTTAACAAGGTGTAGAGCTGGATGAACACAGCAGGCCAAGCAGCATCAGAGGAGCAGGAAAGCTGACGTTTCGGGTCTGGACCCTTCTTCAGAAATGGGGAAGGGGAAGGGGATTCTGAAATAAATAGAGAGAGAGGGGGCGGCGGATGGAAGATGGATAAAGGAGCAGATAGGTGGAGAGGAGAGAGACAGGTCAAAGAGGCGGGGATGGAGCCAGTAAAGGTGAGTGTAGGTGGGGAGTTAGGGTGGGGGTAGGTCAGTCCAGGGAAGACGGACAGGTCAAGGAGGCGGGATGAGGCTGGTAGATAGGAGGTAGGGGTGGGACTTGAGGTGGGAGGAATGGATAGGTGGGAGAAAGGACGGACAGGTTAGGGAGGCTTTCCTGCTCCTCTGATGCTGCTTGGCCTGCTGTGTTCATCCAGCTCTACACCTTGTTATCTCAGATTCTCCAGCATCGGCAGTTTCCACTATCTCTGACACAGTTTCTTAGTTATTTTTTCAATGACAGTCAAGGATAGTTTCACAGTCACTATTAATTAGATATTATCAATTAATTACTTTTCCAGCAGCCACCATAATGGAATGTGAACTTAGGTCCTCAGAGCATTTAGCTAGGCCACTGGATCAGTGACATTACCATTACACTGTCACCTGTCTTAAACTAAAACAGAGATATTTTAAATAGATCCAGTGCTATGCTTCTAAGTTACTATATATAAATGCTTATCCTATGTCTTTAGAAGAATTTTATATTTGAAATAGTAACTGTATGAATTTTCTGTTTTTAGGAATTAGCTGTATTTTTCTTTAAACTGCAGCCTGAGAATTTGCATTGATCTGCAATTGTTTCAATACTTGCCAGAGCATTGTAGCACGGAGGAGATGTTTTACTGATATTTGCACGTGAACATAATTAACTTGTCATAAGTATTGTCAGTCTCAGAACTCCTAAACTGCTTGTTTCAGGTCATTCAACTCTAATGCAATACATTACAGCTTGATGTTATTGAGGTTTTCCAAGTAAGAAATATACTACTTCTTTAAAATCCATGATCATTTTAAGAATAGATTGCTGTCTGACATTCATCCATTAAAATAACAAAGGTTGGTACCTATTTGTGTTAATATACTTTAAAATTATTCACAACATAATTCTTTAAGGTGGTATCTCAACTCATAAACAATTCTTTGAAGAAAACATAAAACGATACAGTTTGATTCACTCTTAAGCGAACAACAGATTCTTAAATAAACAAAATTAACCCAAGAATAATCATCTTAAAGTATCATGGTAAGAAGTTCAAACTGTCATGTAGGATGGCAAATATGACTTACATTTGGACTCAATATTTCTTCCATTAGAAAATAATCAATATGCTGTGGCAATTGTTACTGATTTGCAACTTGCAAGTGTCTTCAATGTAAAGCCCTCAAGCTTTTTAATAGCATTAAGATTACTGATCTACTTATGTAAATTTTAAATGTGTCCTGACATGCTAGAAGTGATGTCTTTGGTGATCGTGTTCATCCTGTAATTCACATGTACTTGCAGGTGCTGTCTGTTAAAATTCTAACATGTAAGTTCAAGTTTTCAATTGTTGAACATGGCAGGGGTGGGACAGAGGGGAAGCAGGCAGAAGTGAAGTCAGTGGTCACAGGAAACAGAGGGGAAGTGGAAAAGCTGAAATATTTCAGCAGTGAGAAAGCAGAATCCACAGCAGAAAGAGAATCAATAGGAATACATCAAGATTAGCTCAGTTAAATAGGGTTAATATTTACAGTGGCAGAACAGAAAATGGAGTAACAGAAGCAGACCAGATATTAAAATAGGGGAAGGCCAGTCGTATTAGCAGTTGGCAGAAAAGAAGGTTATGATATTTGTGGGTAGACGCATGGTGGACCTATCTTCTTTTTGATTGGATCTGAGAGAATATGGTTTATGCTGATAGAACAATCGTGAGGGAATCTTCATGAGAAAAGCTTCTTGCTTAACAAGATGCAGTTTATTGTATGATAGCAATTAGCTGGACAGACAATGTTGCTAGGATTATAGGGATAGATGGGTGACATCTCCTCGTTCAGATCCAGAGCTATTCCCCAATTTCTCCACTGAAGACTATATAATGTCATCAGATTGGAGATTCATGCAATCCCCAACATTAACCATTTCAGAAATAGTACAACACAGGCCACAATAGCATCATGGAAAGATGCAGTACAGAAGAAAGTCAGTCAGCCAGCCCATTTTGCCTGCTTCTTGAAAGGGTTGTCCAGGAGAAGCTGAATAGTTAAGGCTATTTTCTCTGGAGTGTCAGACGCTGAGGGATGACCTTACAGAGGTTTATAAAATTATGGGGGGCATGGATAGGGCAAATAGTCAAGGTCTTTTCCCTAGGATAGGGGAATACAAACCTAGAGGGCATAGGTTTATAGGTGAGAGGAGAAAGATTTAAAAAGGGACCTGAGGGGTAGCTTTTCCATGCAGAGTGTTGTGCATAAATGGATGAGCTGCCACAGGAAGTGTAGGACGCTGGTACAATTACAACATTTAAAAGGCATCTGGATGGGTATATGAATAGGAAAGGTTTAAGAGAGATATCGGCCTAATGCTGGCAAATGGGACTAGATTAAGTTAGGGTATCTGTTCAGCATGGACAAGTTGGAGCAAAGGGTCTATTTCCATGCTGTACATCTATGACTCTAAGTCTTTATCTAATGCCTTTTTGATTATTGTCATTAAATTTACTTCCACCACCCAGTATAGGCCAGAAGTTCATGTAATAATAGACGTTCAAGATGGGAAAATGCTAGTTTCTGTGTAGGTCCCATGATGGTAGCTGAGTGAAGCTGAGAATCTTTGGTACATGCATTAGTGCAATTATGTTAAGGTATCTCTTACTTGTCAGATTATAGAATTCTTCCTGTTTTATTACAACAAAAAATTTAAAAATAATAATTAAGTTTGAGATGGTGATTCATAATGTTACTTTTACCTATGACTCCTTCACAGCCAAAGTTATATTTTTCAAATAAAAAAAAACAAGAACTGTAGGTGCTGTAAATCAGAAACTAAACCAGACAGACAATACGATAAATGCTCAGCAGGTCTAGCAACATCAGTGGAGCGAAATCAGAGTTAATGTTTCAGGTCCGGTGACCCTTCCTCAGAACTTAGATTTTTCAATGCTTTCCTTGACAGCTTCCAGTTTCAGTCATAATCTACACACTTTGTCCCATGGAAGTGCCTGCTAACTATTACTCCAATGCCACAGAACTGCATTTTCTCAAGAGTCCAAAATTCAGAATTCTAATAGCAGGATTGGCTTTTGTAAATATGTTTTTGGAGTGTTAAAAGTGGGTCAAGCTTCTTGATGGCAAGCATCAGGAAGACTTTTGAAGTATTTGCATGTCACGTGTGCTCATTAAAAGGCCAGTTCAGATTTAAACTTGCCCCACCTGACTAAGTTTTGCATAAATAGGAAATCACCAGATGGCAATGTATTAAATGGCATAAAAAGGAAGCAGAATGTCACTGAAATTAGAACAGTAGGACAAAAACAAAACACCCAGTGGAGCTGTTATTATAATGAAGTGCTATAAAGAAATTCCAGTGGCTTGAGCTTTCAAATAGGAAGTCCATAAGTTTGACACCAGTAAGGCTCCGGGATGGAGGAATTAAACAATTTAAAGTTAGCACAAATCATTTGTGGTGACATTGAGTGCTCACTAATTGGAAAAAAATCACATTTTGGGAAGTTGGACTGTTGATAAAAATTGTTTAGACTACTGCTATGAAGTTGGGTAGAGTGCTTGTGGATTGGAAGGCCAGAAGTTAGAATTTGGTGTTTGTAAAATGCTAGGGTGGAAAGCAGTGTGAGGTCCCTTTAAAAGATTATGTGCTTTTTCTATGCTTTGAAATTCAAAAAGGATGTCTGTGGGCAGCAGCTTGTGGGTTTGCAGGTGCACAGAACACTCGAACTGAAACATTTGTATCAAAAAACCATACATTTAGCAGGTATTGTTATCGAAACTGCATTCAGCAGTTTTGTTATCGAGACAAGTTTTGAGTTTTAGCCAATCTAATTGAATCAGGCACTTAGATACTGAAAACCAATTAAAATTTAAATCTGATGGTCTTGACAACATAGAACCAATCCCAATTGTAAGAAAGGGTATAAAAGGAGAGGACAGTTGGCAGATCAGGAGAATTAACTGCCATCTGCCAGAGTTAACTGCTGTCAGTCTTCTCTAAGTTCTAGAGAAGGCACCATCTAAATCAAAAGGTACCTACGGCACAACTAGTTAATTTTTCTGACGGAAGAATTCGATGGAGAAGGCGTTCCTGACAAAACATTTGTTGGAGAAGGCACAGAGCATTCCGGAAGACACATAACCTGGCTGTATTTGTGACAGACTAAATTCACTTTTTTAAAAAAAAATTATAAGTGGGGCTTGCATTTATTGCAACAGGAACC